GGGGAACTGGAAGTTGAGGGTTGGATTTTGACTGACCTGGCCACCGACGACGGCGACGGAGGGAAGAGCATCCCAAAGAGAGGAGAAAGCGTCGCCGGTGTTGCCGTCGCCGCCGTAGTCGCCGAGATCAGTACAAGCTCTCTGGATTCGATTGACCAGTCCTATCAAACTCTCCATAGCTCAGTTTTGACCGCGCGAGAAGGAAACGAAAGGCGAGGAGAAAGCGGGAGACGCGACGGCCGAAGGCGGCGAGACTTCGTTATTAATAATGGATGGATGAAATGGCGGGCGGAGGGAAATTACGTTTTTTTGGACGGTGTGCTCAAATAGTCAAATGTGATTCTAGAGACAAAAGTTGTCTCGTTCGGTACCAAGGCCAAATAGCTCCTTTTTTTTTAAATGAACACCCATACTCTCTCTTTTTTAAATCAAAACTTATTTTTAAAATCTTTGTAGTTTTAAAACGTTACACTCACATAGTCACACCCACTTTGATCATTTTTCGGCCCTTTTCCCGTGAAAAAGAGACATTGGTCCTTATTTTCTAAATTATCGGAGGCACACGTGCACATTTCTTGTTTTACGCTTAATACTTTATTTTTTTTATCTCTTTGTTCCTTTTCAAAAGGATTCTTTTTTAATTTCTTTTAAATTTTTTATAATGTTTTTAAAAATTCAAACTCTTTGTGTTTGAAATAAAAAAAATTAAGATAGACTTCATCTATCTCAAATTAAACATTTTAAGTTTTCGTTTTCTAGAATAATGTTTTTAGTAAGTTCAAAAATAAAATAAAAAGAATAAAGATAAAAATATGGGGAAAATGGAAAAAATTGAAACATCTAAAAGAGAGTCTTATACGAGAAAAATTCAGAACACCCTAAAAACTTCTTGGAATTGGGATGTCGGAGACGGAGAGGATAAAGTTTTTTTTCAAAATCCTATGTAAAATGAAAAAAGTTACTCCCTATTAAACAACATCTAAATCCGAATACAAGAGATATTATCCGTACTTGATTAAAGATATTTGATTTGTAAAAGGATTCAATAATCTTGTATCGAATCTAGATATGCATTCATTAGATTAACCGTTTATTCCTTTATTGTACTCTCTCTCCTTCCTAATTTAAATCGTCTATTTTGATTTATGATATTTAACTCAAATTATTTTCAAATAATTTTATATGAAAAACGACATATAAATAAAAATAAAAATTATATATTTTAAAATTACATCAAAATATCTACTAAATTAGTGGTGAAATGACTATATTATTTTATCAAATGTTTAATGAAATAAAGAAAGAAAGTGAATAAAATTTGACATAGTAAACAAACAATTTAATTCGGGACGAAGTAAGTATATATTATCTACATTGTGATTGATATATACGAGAAAAAAATTATTTTTTCTATTTTTAAAAATTAGTTCACGTACACGAAAATTTAAATTATAATTACTAGTTGGTTTCTTTTTTTGGTTATAAAAGTGAGAGTGAGAGTGTGAGACCATTTTTTTTTATTTTTCATTTTTATTTGTTGCGTGTCTGTTTCCATCTTAAATTATGCTCTGACATTTTTACATTTTTATACATAGCTTAATCCTCAAAGCATACATGGAGGCACATACAAATATGTGTGTCGTGTGTAACTTTTTAAAATACATAAAGTTTATATAGAAAAAGGATATCTGATATATGATCAAATTATAAATGAATAATGATACAAAATATCAATATACTCTAGAGTTCAATTTCACTTTAAAAAATTAGAACTGAATATCTGCTATGTGACCGGTATCTGGTGGACACCGATACTATATTGATTTTAAGTACCTGTCAAGATCTATATCGAAATTCAATAGTTAATAAAATGAAACGGATGCAAATATAACAATACAATTCAATATCCGATCCATTTATTGTCTCTCTACCGAATTTGTTAAGTTAGTGAGTCCGGTCATGTGTTACGACGAGATTTCACAAAGGCTTGATGGAGTGTAATGTAGATCTCGTATGGAGGTGAATGTGAGTAAAATGGAAATGCTATGATGGACCTAAAATTCATACATTGTTTTTTTTATCTAGATATAAAGCTAGCAAACAAAAGCTTGCCATCTTGATAACCTTTTCTTTTGCAAACAAAACAACACAAAAATACTTTTCATGGGAGAAGGTCCACAAAAAGTGGTGGAAACTTTAAGTCCGCCAAGGAAGCACTCAAGAAAGATATGTGCTATGGAAATTGATCACCAAGCGATGTGATGAAGGTGTCAATAGTTTTAATTAGCTGAGGTGAAAGTTTAAATTTTTGTAAATTGACGAGTGGACCAAAACCTGCTCTGATACCATGATAGAATTTAGGATTGGTATGGACGACTGGATTAAGCTATAAGACACTTGGGCTGAACCACATTAAAAGATTGAATCCAATCGATTAGTTAGTTCAACTCAAGAGCTTATATACCGATTAATTTCCTCACACTTTTTCGATGTGGGATGCTCTTTAACATATCATCAAATCATTTTATCTACGCAAAAGAATTTTTAACTTATAAAGAGCTTATAAGTTAAAACTATTTATAAGCAATAAGTCAATAAGCACGCATACAGAGAAACAAGGGCATGCATGTGAGTCCGTGGCCAAGGGCGTGCATGTGAGTCCGTAGCAAAGGGGGCGCAAGTGGGGCAATGATGGGTGGTAGACTGGTAGCACTGCGTTAGAGTGTTATGGGGCGGGGGCGTGAATGAAGCGCTCAAGCCTTCGTCAAGTCTTGGCATCTCCAATGGTAGTGTGAAAGGGTCTAAAGGAGAATCTAGAGACTATCTTCTCCAAATTTTATCATTGAGGTGTCAAAGAACCAACTCAATCAAAAGTTCAAACTTGTGATTGTTACCCAGAAACAGTTATTTATATTCTAACGCGCTCCCTCACGTGCAGGCATAGTCCTTTTCGAGCCTTGCACGTGAAACCTTAATTAATTTTTTTAAACTGGGTGGCGCCGAGTTTCGAACCCGTGACCTCTTAGTCAACAAGGCTCTGATACCATGTCAAAAAACCAACTAAACTAAAAACTCAAGCTTGTTGTTGTGGCCCAGGAATAGTTATTTATATTCTAACATGAGGTAGGCAAAAAATGATAAAAGTTTGAAAATAAGTCTTTGAATTCTCATACTTACTCTCAAGACTCCCTGCTCAATTCATCAATAAAAATCAGACATCTTTCAAAAAAAAAATGTAATCAACAATAATTATTTTATGAAAAAAATAGTTACAATTATTTTGTAATACAAAAATCAATAGTCCTAACAGTAAAAAAAACTCAATCGTGAATTATGTCTACTTATTGTATTTATATATTGTTATGATTTATATATTGTTATGATTTTACTCTATTTTATGCAATTTTTATTGTGTGTGTTTACTTGAATGATTTTAATGAGATGCACTTATTTTGTTTTATGTTGTTAATGTTATATAATTTTCTCTATAACTTTATGTTATTGACTTTCTTAATGATGAATTAAATTTATGAATAAATTTAGTAGAAAGGATAGTGATGGGAACCAAGCCCATCGAGAGAATAATAGCGAATTGGGCCCAGACCCAATTTAGATTCCGTCCATCAAAAGGAGTGTCCAACCCAGAGAAAATATATTGGGCCAATCAAGGAAAGTTATCCGTGAGGAAAGATAGGAAAAAGGAAAAGGATTGGGGCTTAAGAATGGGCTGAAGCCCAGCCCACTAAGAATAAGCTACCCCAAAGGAAAGAAATCGTATGGAAGAGTCTAGAGCAGTCCCCCCTAATTGAAGGGACAAGGACAAGGGGAAAGGGACGGACAGGGAGCAAGAGATGGACGGACAGGCTTGTCCTCCAGTGGACGGCCTCAAGTTGAGATACATTCCCCCAGATGGAGGATGGCTGGCACGAATATTCCCCCAATCACTGTCATTATTGAAGAGGATAATGGATGGGGAGTGCCTATAAAAGAAAGAGGGACTTGGGGAATGGAGGATATCTTGTAATGAGGAGAGAAAATACGTGAGTAAATAATAAAAGATATTCTAGCGATCCTCAAGCATATTCCGTTCCTAAGAGGACCGAATAAAGGAGAGGACCGCCGATTTGAGTTATTATCTAGTGACCAGTGCTTCTATTACTATTAATTATTATTCTCGTATTATCTTTCAATATTATAAGGCCCGGATACCTATATTTGGACCTAGGCCGATCTACAGTCCTTAGGAAAATATTGGGTATCCATCAGATAGTGTATAATATACTTATGTATTAGATAACTAATTAAATAGAAATGAAAGTTAATAGAATATAAAAAGTGAAGTGTCAAAATCTGAAGGAGTAAAGATTGATGTAATTTTTTTGAAAGTATGAAGAAAAGTCTACTTAAATTCTAACGTGACAAAATCTGGAAGAGTTTGGAGACTCCTTTGCATTGGGATGCCCTTAGTCATATGCCCATGCATAATGGGCCACACATTCCCCCATGTGCTACTTCACTGCCTCTTTTGGCATAAAATGTTTAAAATGTGTTGGCCTCGCGATGCATTTCACTGAGTGGTTTACTTCTTAATTCTCGTGCATGGTTTCATGACAAAGCACGCTTGAACCACCCTACACATGGTCTTCATAACGCGCTTACTAATTAATTGGGACCGAACATGGGATACTTGTTTGAATTTTCCATTAATTGTATTGGTTTCAACCTAAACTTTTGAGCAAACAAGGACCAAACCAAAAATAAAATATGTATTGCGAATATTGAATGTTACCTTATCAAAAAAATGCATTATGATTGGGGCACGATGAGATTTAACCACGTGCACCATAGACACCACATAAGCGGATAGATGTGAGTAAAATATGAGTAAAATAGGACTTGAAAACTTGACCAACATTTCACATATGAATATGCACCTTGTGAGTTCACGTTGACCTTACATAAAACAAATAAATCATGTATAGAGTAAATGTTTATGAATCACATAAGGCCCAAATTTACTTATATCTGCATATAAGAATTGGAAATCTGCTTGGGAACTCCACTTCGGGTAACACCAAATGTACACCAAAGCAAAAATAGGCACACACAGACACTTAAAATCTATGCACGCACAGTGTGACTAATTTTGTCTTGGTGTACATTCGGTGTATCCTAAGTGGAATTCCCCTAGCACTCCCCATAAGAATTTACCCTCCTGTTGTGTAGTAAAACATGAAAGCCATGAAAGGGAGCATGTAATGATTATATACGAAGTACTATATTTTTTATATACGGAGTATATATAACCAATCCCCATAATTCTTATATTAAAAAAACATAATCACATATACCATATACGTATAAAAATTACAGAAGAGGAAATTGAAACCGATGGTGAAATGCTCTAACCTCTGCGATGATATGTCACTGCAATATGCTTCAACTTTGACAATCTTGCACAACCGGACGCAATGCCCTTTTGGCGAAGAAGATTCGGTTTGGATGATTAATCTCTTCTGTAAATCAGTGTAGGGTAGTCTGGATACCACATATTGTGCTTCACATATTCCATTATTTGCTCCTGTAGAGAATGAAGAGGCACCAAAGGTCCTTTGTGTCAAAGGTCTAGAATTTAACTCCCATTATATTTGTCCATAACATGCATCTAAGAGGTATCAAGTATCTACTGTCTAGTTTGTCTGCTTGGCCCATCTCAACCATTGGATTGATGAGGGACCCACGCAAGTGAATCTCTTTCCCCCATTCTCCTCCACCCAATTGGATGTTCATCGAATCACCGGTCACCAATTCAAGCAAAGGATACGGATTCCGAATCATAAATGTATGTGTGGCAGATCATTTCTGCTATAAATCTAGTAGAAGCCCGTGTTTTTTGGTAGATAGTAGATACACTAGTTGTGCCGAACATACACTAAAGAAACAAGACACTCAAACACCAGTTGAAACAAGTTGACTGGGGGAAAGAATTGTCAACAAAAGAAAACCATTGCATACCGTGTTAAGTTGGTTTAACTCTTTTCCATCCATTCCACGTTGGTAACCTTCGGCAAGACCCTCATCAATTGCTTCCTTAATCACAGCAGCAGCTACCTCCTTCGTTATGTCACGTATTCTGCCAAAGATTGACAACAGTAGTGAATGAATATCACAAGAGCCAAGAACAGATTAAAAAACTGATAAGATAAAACAAATAAACAATACTCCACTATGCCATAACTAGGGGCAAACACTTTCTGAAATATACATACCTTGATATTGAAGGATATATTATGCCTTTCTGCACATCATCCTCTGTCATATACGAAGCTAGGCTGTAATTGAAGATGATGGTTAGGGATCATGAAACCCAACAACCAAATGATATTCACGGATGGCTTTGTTGTATATGTTTCAAATGGCTCCTTTATAAATCCAACCATTCATTTCAAAAAAGAATTTCATTTTTGTTCCAAAAAATGAATCGACTCTTCAAATGCACATTTGTCCTGTTGTCGTTGCTTAACTAGTTCATTCAGACACTACAATTAAAGTCAAATAAGCTAAATTTTCTTTCTTTAATGGCAAGAGATGGAGATTGAAGGGCTAGGTGGGCAATTGTGGAACTTGAACACAATACTTGAAGGATTTCACTATTAAGCCCTTGTTTGATTGGAAGAATTTGGAGGTATGGGAAGAAAGTGTAGTAGGATCAGCATGAGTTAGGAAAGAAGGGGGAAAAGTAGGGAGCTATTGACTTCTCCAAACACCTCATATTTCCCTTCCCCGATTTGGGGTATTTTGTGAGAGCAATGTTTATTTTAAATCAATTTTACCTTTTAAAATCGAAATATGTTCCACATTATTATTGTTAGACTGTGACTGTATAATTCTAATTATAACAAAACTATACTTTTTTTGTACTAACTCTATTAGAATGTACTATTTGTTCATACACGCTTTCTCAACCTATTGAAGTGCATAGAGTCAACGCGGGTTCGAGCCTGAGTGAACTTTCCATCTAGAATCCTTGAGGGTAGTCCTCCTACCACTCAAGCCAAGAGGGAAGTTCAACAAAAACTATACATAATGTCATGTTTCTTTTGTTGAGAAAACGTCATGTTTTCTATATTTCTTCTAATTATAACAAAAACTATACATAATGTGATGTTTTCTATGTTTCACATTGCTCATTTCTTAAACCAAACAATATGTTGAGACATCTTTTTCAGCTCTATCACTTCCCATCCCATCTCACCCCCATCTCTACCCCCAGGCCAGAGATAAGTAACCCAAACAAATCCCATCATGGGATCATATTCACAAATCAATTTAAATGCAACATTGTTTTTAAATAAGATGGAGTGAAGTACCGCTCGGCTGCTGCCTGCAGCATGCCATCTGAGATGACCCTAGATCCAGATAGAAGAGTGCCAAGTCCAATCCTAGAACACAAAACACCAACTTGTTTGATAACATTTCGGGACAGCTTTAAAATAAATATGATGTATTTAAAAGAGGTGGTAGCTCACCCAGGGAATAGGAACATGTTATTTGCCTGGTTGCAGTGACCAACATGTCCATTTCCTACAACATTCACAGGCAGTTCACACACACAGATGTCTATTAATATGTATTCTTGTTTAACTCCCTTAAGTTTCATCCTATTTTATAACAATAAATGTTGCAACCCGTTCAAACTTTATTAGCAAACTGGCATACCAAGATCCACATCTTTGAATGGGCTTCCACTTGCAAATATAACATTGTCACCAACAATGGCAAACGCTTCCTCAGGTGTGCACTCAGCTAACCCAAAAAAAAGCGATTAGAACACAATATTAACAAACTAAAATCAACTCTGGACGTTTTTTATTGTGTGCGATATACCATTTTTTGTAGGGTTTGACATTGGAAAGATCGCTGGTCTCGTAGAGGTTGACTCCTTAAGTGCATTGAGTACCTAAAAATGAGATAATATTGATCACATTGATACCACAAAACATTGGTACAAAACCCTAACGTAGTTGGGATTGTACTGGTTTTGTTGTTGTTGTTGTTGTTGTTGTTGTTGTTGTTGTTGTTGTTGTTGTTGTTGTTGTTGTTGGTACCACAACAATAGACAAGGCATAAAATAAAGGGCCTCTAATGGCAAATCATTATGAGTAGGAAGCACAGATTAAAGAAGTAAAAACATTTAAAAAGGAACTAAGAAAGCAGCCAAACAGCTTTGAATTGATTAACAGGAAGCCATTATATTTCCACTTGGTGAGTGTGATCAAACTGACAGACACTGAGAGTACTTAAACCTAAATAGACGTAAAAAAAAGTGTTAAGCTGTTGTGTTCTTTCAACTTTCACTTATAAAGTCTTCTACCAACATGATACCTTTGAGTTTTTGACCACTTGTTGTAAATTGTAATAACAGTCTATCCAAACTATTTATTGGCCTGATTTGTCACAACTTACTAGGCCACATTCAAGATGTTAAAAATGAAATCCATTTAATTTTTGTCTGAATAAACCCTTTATGTTACTTTCTCCTTCAATGTCTCTGTTGAACGCCGATTTTATTCCCATCTAAAAGGGTCTCATTAGTTGTATCTTAATTCCCCAAAATGTGACATGATGTGGGTACTCTTCTTAATACCCCAAAAAAGGAAAACATGCCTATAGTCCATGAGATAATGTTTTAGGGGTTTTCTGACTTCTCTCTTTCATTATTTGGAAGCTATTTAGATATCCAAAACATGCGCAAGCAATTCCACAGGTTGAAGTGATTAAATATCCAGTTATAATAGATGTACTAGTCTGGTTGATCGCTATGAGCATTCCACCTTTGAAGCATGAGGAAGCATCCTGTAATCTTTCCCCTAGATGTCTTCTCTATTTGATATGGCAAGTTCTCCCATAAAAGGTCTAACCCTCAATGGTTTACCACAGACAACATTGAAGTATATAATTTGATGGGGGGTATTAACATGTGTTAATGGAAAGGCGAAAGTGACACTAATTGTACTATGTTGTTGCAATCATAACAGACAATGACTGAAGGCAACATTGACAAAATTAAAATACTATATAGGTCAAATTAAGTTTTGTTTTCAATTAGATTTTTGCATCACATATTTTGAAAATAAAAAAATCAAAGGAGAAATTGCATATTTTGCCTTCAATTGTTTACGTTTAGTAATTTTAGCCCCTCAAAACTAGTATTTATGATGTTGTGTGTAGGTCTTTTTATAAAAGACATCACGAGTTTTCTCTATATAATTTATGTGTACCTCATGTGAGAACAAGCCTCCAACAGCAGATAAACCAAGGAGTACATCAGGCTTTACTTGGCGAACCTGATTCAGAACAAAGAGCAATTTGATTCAAGAGCAGCAAAATAAACACAGCATCAGTCAAAGGTTCGCTAAAATACATGACCAACAATAGCATATTTAGCACCATGTTCGGTAGTCTTAAAATGTCCTTTAAAGTTTTGTCGCAACTAAAAAGCAGTCAACAATCAATGTTATTTTGCCAGTAAGTAGATTAGACAGCACCTCTTTAGTTATCACACAGCACCTCTTATATATTAAAATCATAAAAATCAAAACTTGCGTACATTGCCAATGGAGCTAAAAGAGTCACGATTGAGAATATTGACAATATAATGGACTAAATCAAAATGGCACATTAAACTTTCTTTGTTTCTTACTCTCTATCAAGTTTAGGGAAGTAAATGCAACGATGCATCAAGGATCTAATAGAAACAGACTCCATGTCTTTGCACGGTAAGGTTATGTACAGCTTGACCCCCATGGCCCCATACCTCAATGAAACTGGTATTATACCGGGTTTTTGTTGTTGTGTAGTACCCAAATCACAGTAATTTTTAGAGTATTATCTTCAAAATGCTGAAGATAAGTACTGATGACTGATGCACCCTAGACTTTTTATGAAGAAATGAAAAGTATTACCACTTCTGCTAGACTAGCACCTTCCCTCAATCCTTGACGTTGAATTTCATTTATCTTCCTAGCAAACGGGCGAGCATCTTCATCAACATTTTCACGTGCCTCGGTAATCAGTCCCTATATTCACATTAAAACATCCATCAACAATTATTCACATTAAAACATCCATCAACAATTATTCTAATGAAAAGAATGCAAAACTCAAACCAATCTCTTATGTTTTTAAGCAGTCAAAAAAAGCACACTATTAATCCTACAAACATCCCATCACATGCGTCTCAATGCAGACATAACATGAAAGGTTGAGAGACTCACATTGGCATCAACTACCCAAAACTGGCTCCTAGCACTTTCAAATGCAACTTCATTATTTCCTAACATTCTCGCCATTGTTTTCCTGGCAGCATTTAGAACACCTATACCAGCACTGTACTACCAAAAAAATAAACCAAAACAATTAGAATACATTTTAGTTAAAGTCAGCACCTTGTAATACTACTACAACGATAACAAAAAAAACCAGTATAATTCCAACTTAGTTGGGGTCTAATCCCAAGATGTATGCAACCTTACCCCTATTAGAGAGGTTGCTTCTGTTAGACCCTTGATATATTGCTGAATTTACTTCCCAAAACTTCATAGAAAGTAAGATGCCAAGGAAGTTTAATGTGCCATTTTTATTTAGTCCATTATCATCTAGACGCTAAAACATTGTCAAAAATGACTTTTTTAGGTCGATCAGCACCTTCCAATACTGGCATACAGAAATCTGAGAATCTTTTTAAGGGAGGTCTCCAGATATATCATGAGAGGAGGGGGCAACATCAAATTTATTAATAAAATTGACTGGCAAGACCCGAAAGATCTTCGAATAATGCATAAATCAATGAAGGTGTTGGTCACTCAAAGTTTCTCATGCATGACTCAAACACATTATGAGTTTATGTCTGTAAATTAAACACTAATAGAGCAGTATAAAGTGCACACAATTCAGATAGAGACTGGGTTCATTATATAATAGTGCAAAAACATCATAAACTTTGGAATAATTCAAAAAGGATCAAATATAAAATTAAGCATTCTCTAATATATAGAAAACTTGAAAATGCTTGGTAGTTGGACTTCCAATAAGACATGCCATTAGACATCATTACATGAAACGATGAAAAAGAGATTAGTACTAGCCTTCCGGCACCAGCAACCACAATCTTCATCTTTGGAAAATCAATCATGGCCTTGCCCTGTGCTCTTACAGCTCCTAAAAGACCAGCGATTGCAACTCCAGCTGTTCCCTAAATAGTAAGGATAAACCACATCCGAGAGAAAAACATGTCTTTAGTAATGAAAACCATAAAAATCATAGAATTCCATTTTGTATTTATGAAATCCAATCTAGTAGCGAAGTTCAATAATATAAACATTACATAAAAAAAGGTTGCAGTTCTTATTTTTATGGGATAACACAAAAATCTATTAACCAAATCTGTAGAAATATCCCTCTCATTTTCCCCTTCATATTGTTCTATAACCCTGCTCGTGATAAGAATTTATATCAAAGACGCTACCTGCACATCATCATTAAACATTCTGTAGTTGTTCCTATAACGTTGTAGTAGCTTAAAGGCCCACTTGCTTTGGAAATCTTCAAACTGGATGTGCCCAAAATGCATTACAATTCTCGTTTAAGAAGATGGATGTTATGGAAGTTGGTATGGCCATTGACTATTGAGAAGGAAAATGTACCTGTACAATCACATTTGGCCAACGTGTAAACACAGCCTCCATAAACTCATCAATTACTTCAACATATTTCTCTCCATCCAAACGGTTCTCTTGCAGTCCTAGATCTATATGAAAAGAGATGGAAAATAAAATATTAATTTTTAAACATCATTAATTTTTAGTAAAGGTACTGTGGAGAAAGCAACATCTCGGATCCAACTGGGTTGTTGTTGTTGTACTGCAGAGAAATCAGCATCGGAAGTGGTTACATCAAGCTAAGCACAAAAAGCTGAAAAATACTTACATAAGGGGTCCTTGAGAAGATTTTTGTTGTCAGTTCCAACATCTATCATCACAGGCAAGACCTAAAAAAGCAATAGTTAACCAAAAAATGGCATTAGTATTACTTACAAATGTGTTAAGGCAAAAGTATGTCAGACACATACAACTATACAAGACACAATTTTTTTTATTCAGAAGAAAATTTTCTTCGAAACAAACGAAACAGAATGAAATCATGGTGACATGTAGAATTTCCTAATGACAAAGGCATCCCATAGACAGATACTGTATTTATTCAAACTTAGAAGTGTTTAATTCTGCTGTGTTCCTTTATTCTTTTCAGATTAAATGTGTGCATGAAAATGTGTGAGAACTATTTAAAAATACTTAATGAAAAAATAAACTGCATTAGTTCACTATTCTTGTTTTGAGCTTTTTCTTGTTATGTAACCAATATACTACATGTCAAGACAGATTTTTAGCAGAAAGATACTCTTTGAGGGTTGATTCCAGCAGCTGCCACATAGAGATCCAGCTTTCCAATTGCAATACCAATTCCTTGAACTCCAAGATCTCCAAGCCCCAATATTCTACTTCCATCGGTTACAACAATCATATCAACCTACATGAAATTTTAAACATCTACAACCATTATCATTGTGATAAAAAATGAAGGGAAGTTAATCAGCACATGGATCAAAAGATTCCATTTGTCTTAGATTTCATTTAAAAAAAAGGGCTCCAATGCAGGAGGAAATACAGCAATGTGTTAGCTGACTTGTTTGTGATTGGCAAAAGATCTCCACTACTCATCGTTCTTATTTTCATAACTACTATTCAAAATTTTAAACAGAGGAATTTATGCCCAAAAAATTCAATACTTTCCCCCTTTCTCAAATTAAGTGATCAGTCTTGCGTAAGATTTTATTAAGTAATTGAGGAATCAATATACAATAAGGCCAAATGAAGATATATTTTAATTTCTTTCAACATAACAAAATTAATGTGCCAAAAATTCCATATTTTCTGCAAAAGGAAGAACTTGCACTTCCATATTCCTAAAAAGGTAAATAAAATTAAGGCAATCCAGTTGAAACCAATGATATATACAGTACATTTCTAAACTAGTTTTTCCCTAAAATTTAGGTTCCATGTAGAAACCTGATCGGCAGGCCAATTATAAACCATAGACATCATTTCCCCACGATCTGCAGCACTGAAATACATGCCCCTGGGACGTCGGAATAACCCACAGTACTTTTGGCAAACAAGACCAACTGTAGGAGTATAAACTATAGGTGCATATTCCTCAATGTTTTCAATTAAAACCTGCCAGACACCAAAGAAGTATTAAACTTTAACGTAAACTTAAATGGATCTATTAAGATAGTCTATCATCATATATCAAATGATAGTAATATGTTCGATATTACAAGTTTAAAAAAACGCTGATAAGAAAAATTTAAAATTTGAAGTCATGCAAATGTGTGAGCTACTTTAAGGTGTTATCTTAAGTATGAAGAGAACAAGCCAGAACAATGTCTGAAACAAAGTAATACTGATAATTTGCATGTAGCCAACTAGTCAAGACATTAATGTAACATGAGTGCAACTGCAAGGATAAATAATATGCCCCTTCCAAGGAAACTGTGAATATACCCTGAAACATGTGCACACCCCCATATTTAAGGGAAAGTAAGCACACCAGCAATATGTGAAGAGACACAATCACCATAACAATCTTAAATGAAACCAGTTAACACAACCTTTTAAATACATAAAAAGATTCATTCACTCGCCTTATAATACAATGTCTCATTTCTGTCATGTAAGCGGTTGAGTATACGCCACTTGGCCAATGCATTTGGTTCAGATGGACCATCTCTTGCTTGGACTTGAAGTCTCCTTAGGTCAGCCACTGTAGTTTACAGATAAAAGAATAATGATCCTTCGTTCTTGACATTAGAGGTGATGATTGATTGCTCAAGATAATCATGCCAACAATTCTGGGTCATTCAAAATTTTCAACCTTTGAAGCAAAACAAAAAGCAAAGTGACCAACTAGCCCTATTTGGGACAGGATGGCAGAATGAATGAAATAAAGTTTGCATAACTATGTACTAAACTTACTCATGTTCATAAAGAATTAATATTTATTTAAATCCAGAGTATTTCTATGTATAAATGTGGAAGGGGTGGCTGTGCCACTCAAGGAGCACTATCAATATGATACTCCAGAATTTAGTAATAATCTCCATTTTAGGAAATAAAATAAATCATTTCTACTCTAAAATCAAAGGATAAATATTTTTACTTAAGTGTAGTTTCTTGATACAAAACAAAAAAGCTTCTAAGTAAATCACACAGTACACTGGACTCACTGAATCGATCAATTTGCTGGTCAAAAGACATGACATTTGGAGGCAAAAGCCCGCGAAGATGAAGACGATCACGTTCTGTCTCTGAGAAGGCAGTTCCCTGGAATGCATACATTTCACTGAAGCTTGTAAACAATCAAGCTTATAGTATTAATTTGTTTAAAAAATACATGCAATGGTAATATTACTTGTAATGCATGAGGAATCTATTCACTATTAATGTTTCCTAAGACAAGCAGTAAAGCATAGAAACCTTCCAAAAAAGGCTTAGGGGCTGTTTGGCAACTTCTGAATAGGTAAGTGCTGAACCAGTAAGAGATCTGAACAATTAAGTGTTGAACCAGTAAGAGGTCTGAACCATTAAAAGCTAGTATATTGCTTAACTATTCAGAGGCAAATGTCTGATCAATTCAGATAAGAGGTCTTAACCATTCAGACTCTGTATAATACTTAACCATTCAGAGGCATATCTCTTAACCATTCAGACATCTGAACCATTAAGAGGTTGAAACAAACAGTCTGAATTATTAAGTGCTGAACCATTCAGACATCTGAACCATTAAGAGGCTGAAACAAACAGCCCCTTACACTGAAAAGTAATAGCACTCTAAAAAGATGTTCAACTGAATGACTGGTTCATGTGAACAACTAATTGATCTAGCTTGGCGTCACCAGCCTACTTATGGTATACATGTGTTTCCTTTAATGCCATGTGTATTTTGATATAAATATCCCTCTCTCCCTCTCCCTCTGCCTCACCTCGCCCTCGCCACCCTCACCTTCACCCTCTCCCTCTCTCTCTCTATCTCTCTCTTTCTCTCTCAATTTTTTTGAGGGGAGGGGGGCACACATGGCACTCACAGCACCACACTCTAAAATACAAGTATAGTACATTATTTTCTGTACTGCCTGCTAGACCAGGTTCTTTAGGAAAACAGTCTCTCCACTTTTTTTATGTAGAGGTAAGGTCTAATAACACTTGCTTTTGAGTCAGTTGTTGGATTTCTGTTTTATGTCTTTTATCTTCTAACAAAATTGCATTATTTGCCTCCGGAGATATATCTGCCACACTTAATAGCCGGCATGAACAAAGTGGACTGTAGAAATAAGGATAGCAATTGTGATTCACACTATGAAAACTGATAATCCCATGAACAACATCCCAGTAGAATCCCACAGGAGAAAAACTGAGTATTCCCATGAACGAAGTGAGAATCCCATTAACAAAGTGATTCACACTATGAAATCCTGATAATCCCACGGGAGGAAAACATGAACAAAGTCATTCACACCATGAAAACCGAGTAATCCCATTATTTCCCCTATGAAATTCTCCCATTATATCCGTAATTAAACCAAAACAGTCTCTCATGGACTCAACTTAGATAAATTGAAAGGTGGAGAAATAACATAACTGGACTTCTTAGTTAAAATCTTATACGGACTACTTCTAAAGTTGTAATATATGGTGCATACAACAAACAACAAAATCCACTACAATCTCAACCTTACCCAGTGAAAAAAATACAGAGGTTAATCAGCTACTCCATAAATTCTCTGCGCACTTGTTTAGCGACCTTTAACTATTGCATCAACAGATGCATAAAATCAACTACGCAAAACTCAAATAGTTGATCCAAATCATAAGCAGGTGCCAATGATCGATTTAGGTATTTCAAGAGCAAAATTCAAGTAAATTGAGGGCGGGAGAGGCGTCGTGTTGACCTTATTGAACCACGGATCGTGGAGGATATCGAGGCTGCGCTTGTGTACGATGGCGGGGCGGTGACCTTCCATGGTCGTGAATCCTCTGCAAGTGTTTGGATTCGCATCGTCTATGACTCTTTGCAGCAACTGCCATCTTCTCCGCATGGCTGGAGAAAGCATCATCTTCCGAGAAAAGGTCGCCATTGCTGAACAGTGCTATAGAATGGAGGAATCTTAAGGCACCTTCGGACGGGATTTAGAAAGGCCTGATTCGTGGGAGTGGGAAAGGAATGTCAAACAAATGGAAAGAAAGGGATGGAATAGGAAAAAAACAAAAATAGATACTACTTCCGTCTCGCTATATTCGTCCACTTTTGACTTTTGGAACTGTTCATCTAAACACTTTGACTCATCAAATTCTTTCAATGTGTAAGCCTAAATATAGTCATGCGTGATCTTGTTTGATTTGTTTTAACATATAAATTATTAATATATAATTTTTTAATATACAAATTACAAGATAAAATGGATTAAAGAAGTGCATTGGATGGTGTGCTAAAAGGTAAGTGGACAAATATAATGGGACGGAGAGAGTATTTCCTAAATCTCTAAAAGAAACTTCTTATTTCAATGACATATAAAATTGTACATAGTATGAATTTTAAAATAATTTTATTTCCAAATTAATATAGAAATAAGAAATAAAACTTATTTATAAAAAATATCAAAAGTTATACAAAACTAGACGTGACTAAAATATTTTATTTTATTAGATGATCAACAAAAATATATAAACAAATAAAAGTTTTCCATATTAGTAAAGAGGTAAATCATTTAGGATGGATAAAATAAATATTTTTCGGGGATATTTTGGATAATTTTTTAATACAATAAATTAATTTTGAAAATATAACACTTAAACGATATCATTAAAATAAAATTCTTCAAAATATTAAAGAAAACACTATAAATTTGTTGTTAATTTTTAAACAGGCACTTATATTGTTTATGTTTTTACGTTCAAGAAATTTAAACACTAAAATTTTACTCAAATAGACTTATGTCCATATAAGAGTCTGTTCTTTATGACTTAAACTCTTGACTTTTAGTTCCTTTGAGTTTTTTCCAGTTTTTTTAGTTTTTTTCAGTCTCTTCCAATTTCTTCTAGTTCTTTCCAGTTTTTTCCAACTATTCTCATTTTCTTCAAAATTTTTCTACTCCACGACCAATCACTCAAAAAATGATATATTTTTAATGTGATTGCGATTATTATTATTATTATTATTATTATTATTATTAGAATTGTTATGTTTATAATTATAGTTTATAAATCATTTCTTTATCTCACTGTTTTTACTATTCACACTCATTATTTTTTCTAACTTTTTAATATGAATAAAATAATTTTTTTTGTATATTAATCTACATGATAAAACAGAAAAATATTAGTATTTTAAACTATATTAAAAACTTATGGTCAAAACTACGTATAAGTTTTTTAAATTTATAAGTCAGCAGATGGCATGCTTTTTTGTGCTTATAAGCCAACTTATAAGTTGCTTATAAATTAGAAAAAAATTAAGTAGGTCTTAGTTACTTATTTTTAAGCTAATTTTTTTATTTTTCGTTTTGACCAGATTATTTACAAAACTATCTATCGCCTATTATTAATCTCTCCAAATGATTTATATATCATTTAAGTTATTTTTTTCTATACAAAAGAATTTTTAACTTAGAAGCGACTTATATAAATACCAACACAAAAAAATACTCACGATAAACCAAATAACGAGACAATTTAACTTTTGTTAAATAATCAACACCCATCCGGTCAACAAATAAAACCCCAATTTCACAATGACCAATACAAAACCAATCAATCTAAGACTAAACTAACTAAGCGTACTATTGTCGGAAAAACGTGGGCTCGTCGGCTCGATCAGACCATGAATGAACAGTATTATTGAGGCTCGATCGCCTCAACGTGTGTGTTGGGTCCTAATTTATCCGAAATGATTTGTTGGCAAATTTGTTTTGTTGTGCCTTAACATCTACTCGTGTGGAAGTAAGCTTTGCTACGCTAATTAATACAAGGACTGTCATTTTCTCTATTTAGATTTTTTTTTAAAAAAATTACTCATTCTGTCCATTTTGGTTCTTCCAATTTCCACTTGCACGATTAAGGCTGTGTTCAGTTCGCCGGATCTAATCTGAATCTCATCTGATTTTTTGAATATCTGATATGATCTAATTTGATTATAATAAGAATAAGTAATAAGCAGAAAAAATAAGTTACGGAAAAAATACATTAAATTGTGATCACAAGTTTTGAAATATCATATCTAATCTGATTTTAAAATTTTGTTCACAAGTTACGGAAAAAATACATTAAATTGTGATCACAAGTTTTGAAATATCATATCTGTATAAAATATATCTATATATAAATAAAAATATTAATGATCGAAGTATGTCATTAAAGACTTGCAAGTCAGAGATGAAAGAAATAAGAGGGATGAAGGGGAGTATTATTCAATTACATTGTTTATTAATTTTAATATAGAGTTTTTTTAAAAAATTAATCTATAATATTAGAGATTATTACCTTAGACACTAATACTCATTCCGTCATCCATAGATCTTCTAATCACGTGTTATGCTGTTTGACGAACTTTATTTTATTTTGAATTCAATTTATCTGATTGTAAGAGTAAAATTTAAAAAATTAAATTTATATAATAAAAATTATATAAAATAAAAAATGACAAAACTATACTATTTTATTAAAGAAATTGTAAAATAAATAAACAAAATAAGTTAAATTTCGCAACCAGGTGAATTAATAGATCCACGCACTTCGCTGGCATTCACATTCAGTTTGTCATGCAAAACTAGTGGTCTATGGTACATGCCTTTGCTCTTCAAAAAAAAAAGAAAAGAAAATTCACAATTTTTTTAGTCTGTAGGTGTAAACTTCCCATGAACTCAAAATAATTTTAATTAGATAAAAAATAAAAATTAAATACAAAAATGATAAAGTCGTATATTTTGTGACGGCTTTTAGTTTGCGATTCTAGTATTTTTCTCTTTTCTATAGACCGAAGGTCAATGAGCTAGAGTGTGGGTGGGAGTGGGAAGTGGGCTTTCCACATTTTTCAAGTAGGGTCATGCTACACTTACATAAAAAATTGTACCACATTTGTACACCGCAGTTTTTTTTTTGAACAAAATGCACAACTTTATTACCACCTCAAAGTGCGAATACAACCAACAAACCAAAAGTCTATCTCAAAACAACATTTTTTAGACGATAATTAATAAAAGACCTCATTTGAAATTTTATCCATTCTATGCTTTCCTCAACAGATATCAATTTCTCCTGCTTAATCTTGAAATTACGAGCCTTCCACACGACATAGCAAACAACAGCAAAACCAGCAATCATTATCTGTCTTTTCCTTCTTCCTTTAACACTCTCACTTGCTCTCTTCAAGTCCGCATCGTTCTTGGCCTTCCATTGGACTCCAATCCACTTCTCTATTTCTTCCTTGATACCCAGAGTATATACACAGCCATAAAACAAGTGCTCCTTATCCTCCACTCCATTGCTACACAACACACAACCAGTGTCAATATTCAGGAATCTTTGTAATCTCACCTTGGTGCTGATTCTATTCTTCCATCCAAGCCACATTAACACTTGGTGTTTGGGAATAGTTAACCTATTCCACACAATAGAGAATTCAGGATATGCATTGGCCTCACCCATGAGCCATTTGTACCCCAACTGGGTTTCATACTCACCCTTCATGTCCATTTTTGCAAATAGCTTCCTATTATGTAGGAGCTTCCTCAAGTAATAGCACATACAAGATTTTGGTTGGATATCCCATATACTACTCCCCTTGAGATACTTGTTGTGAATCCATTTAACCCACAACACATCTTTTTTGTTAGCAATGTCCCATAACAGGCTGTGATTACAAGCATAATTCCAAAGAACCAGGTTTTTAGTACACCGCAGTTATATACAAACATTTTGATAGTTTACACCGACACAAGTGTTGGTGCGTTAATAAAAATTTATACGAACACAAAGTATTGGTGCGTTAACAAAAACTAGTTTTACACCAACACAAAATGTCGGTGCAAACCTACGGTTTACAAAATGGGGTACAAAATTTAGGGTACAAAAATCTTTATCCTTTCAAGTATTTTACCTATAACTAGTTATAATTGATTAGGATCGATTTTGCACTGATAATGGAGTCAAGTGTTTTATAGTCCATTTGTGCGTCCTATTCAATCTTACTCGGTAATTTATTTTAACATAGAACTTCGGTATCAACTTTATTTTCAAGTCAAATAAATTGATTTTATGTGTAAAATTTAAAAATAAAATTTATATGTATTCAAAAATTGCATAAAAAGTTTTTCAAAACAAGACGTTGCATTACTATTTAATTTTATATAATAATATAAGTAATAAAAACAAGCAAATAAGTGAATAAAGTTTGACAGCAGGAGATTTTAAATCAACAGTATAAAAACCAGAATACAAAATCTGGTATTTGACAGTAAGCCCCTTCGGCGTGGGGCCGTGGGGGTGTGATGGTGCATCGTGATGCCACCTGGCGCCACCTCACCCCCAATAACCCCATGGAACACCTCCCGCCCCATATGTGACCGTGATGGAGGTTATGGCCATCACGGTCACCACAGCTTTATTCAATAGCTGGTTTCCCCTCTTTTTTTTGGTTTTTCCATCCTCTCTCCACTTTATTTAAATCAACCTCTCCACCTCAATTTTTCACACTTTCAAATTTTCTTCTTCTTCTTTTCTACAATTCATCAAAATTTTCATCCTTTTTTCCACAATGCGGATGTCTCCAATTCTGATGAGGCGGAAGCTCCTTTCATGAATACCATGCCCCGGGCTGTTCAGATTCTTATGCAACAAAAAGAAAACGACAAACCACCCGAACCATGTAGAAGAAAAAGAGCTTTGAACATAGACAAGATCGGCATTCTTCGATATTTTTCATATTTCTTTAAAATTTTAAATTTAATATTATGAAACTAATGCGCAGGTAAGCATGACTGATTAGTTGCGGATTATTTTCCAAAAATGTGACATACATCAACAGCAAGTTTTGACAAAGATTTTGTATGAGTCATCGTCTTTTTGTACGTATTGTGAGTAATTTGGAGGGTGCTACTCATTTATTTACGTTACAACATAATGCCTGTCAAAAAGTTGGGTTTTCAACTTGCAAATGTGCACGACAGGGCTATGACAATTGGCATATGGCAACAAT